TGCTCAACCAGGTTGTTAGATGCGGCTGCTCGCAGCCTGATGTATGAGTCACAGCCTGGTTGATCAGGTATCCTTTGGAGGTGGTTTGTCAAGTTCTCTCTTGAACACTGTGAGGGGTCGGCCAGTTATGCCCCTTATGTGTAGTAGACGCGTGTTGAACAGTCTCGGCCCTCTGATGTTGATAGATACTCTGAGAGAGAACTCTAAGTAGTCTAAGATGTTGTAATCGGTCAAAGGCACACTTTGACACTCTCACTCTCTCTCTCTCTCTCTCTCTCTCTCTCTCTCTCTCTCTCTCTCTCTCTCTCTCTCTCTCTCTCTCTCTCTCTCTCTCTTTCTCTCTCTCTCTCTCTCTCTCTTTCTCTCTCTATTCTTAATCTTTCATCTCTCTCCCGTCTCTCTCACTCCCCCTCCTCCTCTGGTCTTTGCTGCCGCTCCCCCTCACTCTCACACCTTCAACACTGCGCCTCACCAAAATGAAAACACATCATCCATCATCCTCAACTGTCAACCTAATTGCTCGACGGATTAATGGATTGAACACCTATTTATGTTTCGGTGCCACGCTGAGGGCAGCGTGTGTGTCGTGGGGTAATACTTCCACCCTTCCTCTTCCTATCCCTTCACTCCAAATCCCATCCCTCTCACCGTCCCTTCTCTCCCTACCCTTTTACTCCTTCCTCTCCTTCACTTTCACTTCCCAGTGAAAGTGAGTGCTCCAGCCCACCACCCGCCCACCGCCCGCCCACCGGCTCCCGGAACACGTTCAAAGCCTGTACATCAAGAGGGCGCTGGGCGGAGAATTACACCAGCCTGCTCCTCGCAATGCTCTCACCTCCACCCAACTTAACTTGCCCTTTCTCAACACTTGTTTTAATACCTTTGTTCACGCAAACCTGCAAAATGTTACCCCCCGCACACACACACACACACACACACACACACACACACACACACACACACACACACACACACACACACACACACACACACACACACACCAGGGTTGTAGTATCAATTCGACAAATGTAACCAGAGGTTCCTAAAGGCCAATATTAATGGTGGGCACATTGACAATGCGATACAGGAGATATAAAATATCAAAACTTTCCAAACTCCAGTTGCCTGACGAAACATGGAGAGTAAAGCTGGCAGACACAGCGCACGAACACTTCTCGGAGCAACATAACCCAGACCCAACAAGACTAAAGGGTCGAGGACCCACCAACAGCACTAGACCTCATGTTTACCCAGAATGAGACTGATGATGAGACTCATCGTGAGTATGAGGGATGAGAGAGGCCTCTGGGAGAACTAGAGCAACCTCTACCTTATCCTGTTCCAGTACATAATGGGGTTAATGGAAGGGAGTAGATGAGGAAAGGAAGGGAAGATATTACAGACGTGGGGACTACGGAAGGGAGAGAGGCAGTCGTCTCTCCCATACGAGAAGTCGAATGGGAAAGACAGTTGAAATAGAGGACATAAATATTACGTGATGGAATGCATACCTTGAGGTGCTTCCGGGGCTCAGCGTCCCCACGGCCCGGTCGTCGACCAGGCCTCCTAAATAGAACTAAACTAAAACTAGAACTAAACTAAAGAACTAAACCATAGAACTAAACCATAGAACTAACTGTGCATATGCCAACGGTGCAATTCATTCCACTCAAAAAAGAGGTGGAAGAGAAAAGCAAAGTACGTAATATTCAATAAACATTTCAGGGAAGGGCAAAAAAAAAAACTTGGAAAAAGGTTTCAGAAAACATAGAACAGAAGAAAACTGAGACACTAAAAACAAGAAATGACAATATTCAGGTCCGAAGGATTGCTCACAAAAAAAAACAAAATTATGAATTCATTCGTTAATGAAATTAATGAACCAAATTACGCCTAAACCTTAGAACCACCCAACCGTCGTACCACCCAATTAGGAGATAAACAGCAGCAAGAGACACAATGCGATCAGGCTGAGTAGACAAGAGAAGATTCTAAAAGAAAATGACAAGGAGGTGTGTGTGTGTGGAGAGAATCAGTAAAATATTTCAATAAGACTTCATACAAGAATCAATATGGCGACCAATGTTGCGAGATAAGAGGCGCCCAGAACAGCACAGGACGACTTAGTAGTCACTGTAGCTAAGACAAGAAGCACACACGTTGCAAGTTGATGTGGCACAATCAATAGTGCCAGACCTAATATCACCAAGGCCGCCGAAGGAGGCTGCAGACACACTTTGTCACACGTTGACTCAAATTTTAAATAAAACGGAGATCTTCCAGAACTGAGAGATCTTCCAGAACTGAGAGATCTTCCAGAACTGAGAGATCTTCCAGAACTGAGAGATCTTCCAGAACTGAGAGATCTTCCAGAACTGAGAGATCTTCCAGAACTGAGAAATCTTCCAGAACTGAGAGATCTTCCAGAGATGAGAGATCTTCCAGAATTCTGGAAAGATGGAAAACGTAGCCTGAATATTAACAAGGGGCGATAGACTGGAATCACTGAACTAAAGATCAGTGTCCGTGACAAGTATTCCGAATAACGAGCCGAGGAGAGTAATCAGGCTGGAATAACAGGGCACAAGAAGACGATACACATTGCCTTGGAAGGAAGAATGAATGCAAATGAAGAAAGTCGTGCTTAAGGAAACGTGATCGAATTCTACGACAACGTTAGCAAATTACGACAGGAGAAAAGAGACTGATGAGATTGTATTTTTCTAGATTGTCAAAAACCATGTTACACAGTCATGAAAGCCTGAATGAAAGACGGTAAATCACTGTGGAATGGACGCAGGAAATATGAATATATCACAGGAATATAAGGAAGTATGTAGGCGATGAGTCACAAAAACGTGGCTAAAGTATGTTGACCAGACCACACACTAGAAGGTGAAGGGACGACGACGTTTCGGTCCGTCCTGGACCATTCTCAAGTCGATTCGTGCTTAAGGAAGTACTCGTACCTTGTACCGGTGCTCAATAAGCGCAATGTTATAAAGAAGAAGAAGTTGTGAAAGCCACCTCCTGCCATAATGAGTTAAGATTCGACAAATAATTCGATTGTAGACGATGAGTCACAATAACATGACTGAAGACATGATGATCAAACAACACATCAGAAGATGAGCAGACGACGACGTTTCGGTCCATCCTGGACCATTACACCACTTGACAACGGTCCACGACGGACCGAAACGTCGTCGTTTCTTTTTTTTCTGATATGTGGTTTGGTTATAAAAAAAATTTAACCGTCAGGAAAGTTATTTAATTAAAACGCAACGACTGCAACAGTGATACTAGACGGGGCTTAAACAGGCCTCACTTCACCCTAATCACTGTTAAGTGAGCAACGTTCTCCCCCCTAAACTAAACCCAACCACTTGGGCTAGACGGTAGAGCGACGGTCTCGCTTCATGCAGATCGGCGTTCAATCCCCGACCGTCCAAGTGGTTGGGGCTCCATTCCTTCCCCCCGTCCCATCCCAAAACCTTATCCTGACCCCTTCCCAGTGCTATATAGTTGTAATGCCTTGGCGCTTTCCCCTGATAATTCCTTCCTTCCCCCTAAACTACCACCCCTCCCCCCCCTCCCTCCCTCTCCCTCACACCTCTCCCCCTCCCTCACACCTCTCCCTACCCAGCCCAACCACCCTCCCTCACCACCACTACGCTGGTGGTTACTGGTGGTGGTGGTGGTGGTGGTGGTGGAGCTCTCCCTGCCCCTGCTTCCCTTCCCTCAGCCTACCCTCCGCCCTCCTATTGATCATCATCATCTCCCCCAAAACAATGTTGTCTTAAACTTTGTTCTTCCCTTAGGTCCCTTATAACATGCCTCTTCATCCCCCGCCCGCCGCCTCCTCCTTCCTCCTACTCTGCCTCCAGTTCCTCCTTCACTATTTCCTCTCTCATTCTCCGCCCCTTTCATCTCTTTCCCTTCATCACTCTCGGGCAAAATATCTCCTGACTTTCCACCCCTTCCCTCCCCTCACCCACCCCTTCCTGGCTCCCCCCCTTTCCCTCACCCACCCCTTCCTGGCTCCCCTAACCCCCCCCCCTCTCCCCCACCGGTGGTGACCAGTTGGCGGTGTAAACATCTTTGTCTTCTCCGAGGGAGTAGCCAATCAGAGAGGCGCATCCGTCACGATACGCCGGACAGAGGGGAAAAAAGGAGAGAGTATATGTTATGGGAAGAACGCAATTACTCGCTGTGGTGTAGTGGGCAAACACCGGACGCTGATAGTGAGTGTGCTCGGTGTTTGCCTCCCTCTACAGCTCCTGCAAGACGTGCTTTATCTCCTGGGCTCCGCCTTGCGGTCTCCGTGACCTCGGGCTTTATTGTATATTTTTGGATAGGGTTTTTATTGGAGTTTGCCGCAGTTACGGCGGTTTGTTGATGGTTTTAATTGTTTAATACCGACTCCCACACCAGGGGAACTGATTCATTAGTTCCTAGTTGATGAGCTGAACTGGTGTGTGTGTGTGTGTGTGTGTGTGTGTGTGTGTGTGTGTGTGTGTGTGTGTGTGTGTGTGTGTGTGTGTGTGTGTGTGTGTGTGTGTGTGTGTATTCGTGTGGCCGTGTGTGTCCGAAGATATTCAACAAGGCTTGTAAGAAAGAGAACTGAGCTATGAAGAAAGACTGAGGGACTGGACCTTACCATACTGGAAGAAAGAAGGAATAGCAAAAACGTGATAACGACGTACAGGATACCAAGAGCAGTTGACCACGTAGGTAGAGAAGAAGAATGTATGAATGTAAACTGTAGCCATTAAATGAGTCTCAGAGATGATCAGAAGGAATGTTTTTGCGTTTAGTACACACACACACACACACACACACACACACACGCACACACACACACACACACACACACACTCACACACACACACACACACACACACACACACACACACACACACACACACACACACAGGGAAGGTGTCTGGCGGAGAGTCAAAAGTCGTGACCTATAATGATCTAATGATTTTTGGGAGAGGATGTTGGTCCAGTCGGTGGGTGCTGTTGTTGACCCCAATCCTGACCCCAGCATCCACACCTTGACCCCACCATCCACACCTCGACCCCACCATCCACACCTCGACCCCACCATCCACACCTCGACCCCATCATCCACACCTCGACCCCACCATCCACACCTCGACCCCCACCATCCACACCTCGACCCCACCATCCACACCTCGACCCCATCATCCACACCTCGACCCCAACATCCACACCTCGACCCCAGCATCCACACCTTGACCCCATCATCCACACCTCGACCCCAACATCCACACCTCGACCCCCAGCATCCACACCTCGACCCCCAGCATCCACACCTCGACCCCAGCATCCACACCTCGACCCCACCATCCACACCTCGACCCCAGCATCCACACCTCGACCCCATCATCCACACCTCGACCCCAACATCCACACCTCGACCCCAACATCCACACCTCGACCCCAACATCCATACCTCGAGCCCATCATCCACACCTCGACCCCAGCATCCACACCTTGACCCCATCATCCACACCTCGACCCCATCATCCACACCTCGACCCCAGCATCCACACCTCGACCCCATCATCCACACCTCGACCCCAACATCCACACCTCGACCCCAACATCCACACCTCGACCCCATCATCCACACCTCGACCCCACCATCCACACCTCGACCCCAACATCCACACCTCGACCCCAACATCCACACCTCGACCCCATCATCCACACCTCGACCCCAACATCCACACCTCGACACCAACATCCACACCTCGACCCCACCATCCACACCTCAACCCCTTCGTCTAACAGGCGAGGAACACAAGAGACTATGTAACCACCTCAAAACACCTTGTGTGAGTGGTTCAATGAGACTGTTGAGGCAAGCATGGGGTATAACGACTGTAGAGGCAGCGTTCTCTGTCCCTTCGTAACCTATGCTTACTCTGCTTTGCTCTGTCTCTCCCTTTCCCTTCCCTCCTCACGCTATTTATCCTACACACCCATCCTTGTCCTCTTCCATTGTCGCATACGTCAGTCAAGCCCTCCCTTCCCTCTCATTCTGGTGTACTAATCATCTAATTTTCCTTTTGGCAGTTTTAGATGAGGGTGAAAAGGGGTGATAGGCTGAAGAATAGATGCATAGAATAGGGAAAAGGAAGGTTGAAGAATAGGTAAGGATATGCAAATCATCAGGGATGAGGTGCCTGTGGAAATGAATTCATAAAATGGTAGAGAATGGAAGGGAACTATCAGGGGGAAAGCACCAAGTCATTACGACTATACAGCACTGGGAAGGGGTCAGGATAAGAATGTGGGATGGGACGAGGGGAAGGAATGGTGCCCAACCACTTGGACAAAGTCGGTAGAGAATAGAAGGATAGGAGACTGGGGAATGAATAGTATGGGGTAATGGAATGACAGAGAAATGGGGATAAGAGTCTAAGACGGACAATATTGGTCAATAATGGATAGAGGATGTATGGTTCTCAAGGATAGAGAATGTATGGTTCTCATGGATAGAGGATGGATGGTTCTCATGGATAGAGGAGGTATGGTTCTCATGGATAGAGGTATGGTTCTCATGGATAGAGGATGTATGGTTCTCATGGATAGAGGATGTATGGTTCTCATGGATAGAGGTATGGTTCTCATGGATAGAGGATGTATGGTTCTCATGGATAGAGGTATGGTTCTCATGGATAGAGGATGTATGGTTCTCATGGATAGAGGTATGGTTCTCATGAATAAAGGAGGTATGGTTCTCATGGATAGAGGATGTATGGTTCTCATGGATAGAGGAGGTATGGTTCTCATGGATAGAGGATGTATGGTTCTCATGGATAGAGGATGTATGGTTCTCATGGATAGAGGATCTATGGTTCTCATGGATAGAGGATATATGGTTCTCATGGATAGAGGATGTATGGTTCTCATGGATAGAGGATATATGGTTCTCATAGATAGAGGATGTATGGTTCTCATGGATAGAGGATCTATGGTTCTCATGGATAGAGGATATTTGGTTCTCATGGATAGAGGTATGGTTCTCATGGATAGAGGTATGGTTCTCATGGATAGAGGTATGGTTCTCATGGATAGAGGATGTATGGTTCTCATGGATAGAGGATGTATGGTTCTCATGGATAGAGGTATGGTTCTCATGGATAGAGGTATGGTTCTCATGGATAGAGGTATGGTTCTCATGGATAGAGGTATGGTTCTCATGGATAGAGGATGTATGGTTCTCATGGATAGAGGATGTATGGTTCTCATGGATAGAGGATAGAGGTATGGTCTCATGGATAGAGGTATGGTTCTCATGGATAGAGGTATGGTTCTCATGGATAGAGGTATGGTTCTCATGGATAGAGATATGGTTCTCATGGATAGAGGATGTATGGTTCTCATGGATAGAGGTATGGTTCTCATGGATAGAGGTATGGTTCTCATGGATAGAGGTATGGTTCTCATGGATAGAGGTATGGTTCTCATGGATAGAGGTATGGTTGTCATGGATAGAGGATGTATAGTTCTCATGGATAGAGGTATGGTTCTCATGGATAGAGGTATGGTTCTCATGGATAGAGGTATGGTTCTCATGGATAGAGGAGGTATGGTTGTCATGTTCATAGCATGATTGACCTGAGGGTTGCTGGGGGAGGCGTGTGTGCTGGGCATGTTGGCACTCTGCAACAGTGCCGGCACTGATCTGCACACACTGATCGCTTGCAATCATTATTATGGCGAATGGCGCGATTTCTGTCAGTGTGAGAAGTGGGGGGTAACACTGACGCTATTACCACTATCCTCACTACCACTACTACCACCACTATCCTCACTACCACTACCACCACTATCCTCACTACCACTACTACCACCACTATCCTCACTACCACTACCACCACTATCCTCACTACCACTACTACCACCACTATCCTCACTACCACTACCACCACTATCCTCACTACCACTACCACCACTATCCTCACTACTACTACTACCACTATCCTCACTACCACTACCACCACTATCCTCACTACCACTACCACCACTATCCTCCCTGCCACCACCACCACCAGTACCACCACAACTACAACCACCAGTACCACCATCACCACAATTACCACCACCAATACCACTATCACCACAACTACTACCACCACCACTATCACCACAACTACCACCACCACCACTATCCCCACCACCACTACCACCATCACCACAACCACCACCACCACTACCACCATCACCACAACTACCACCACCACTACCACAACCACCATCACCACAACCACCACCACCACTACCACCATCACCACAACTACCACCACCACTACCACCACCACCACCACAACCACCACCACCACTACCACCATCACCACAACTACCACCACCACTACCACCACCACCATCACCACAACCACCACCACCACTACCACCATCACCACAACTACCACCACCACTACCACCATCACCACAACTACCACCACCACTACCCACCATCTACCACCACCACTACCACCACCACATACCACCACCACCACACAACTACCACCATCACTACCACCACCACCACCACCACCACCACCACAACTACCACCACCACTACCACCACCACCATCACCACAACCACCACCACTACCACCACCACCACTACCACCACCACCACTACCACAACCACCATCACCACAACCACCACCACTACCACCACCACCACTACCCACCACACCACCACCCACTACCCACAAACCCACCATCACCACAACTACCACCACCACCTACCACCACCACCACTACCCACCACTACCCACCACCACTACCACAACCACCATCACCCACCACCACTACCCACCACCATCACCACAACTACCACCACCACTACCACCACCACCACTACCACAACTACCACCACCACTACCACCACCACAACTACCACCACCACTACCACCATCACCACAACCACCACCACCACCATCACCACCACCACCACTACCACCACCACATCACCACAACCACCACCACTACCACCACCACCACCACTACCACCACCACACCACCACCATCACCACTACCACCACCACCACTACCACCACCACCACTACCACAACCACCATCACCACAACCACCACCACTACCACCACCACCACTACCACCACCACCACTACCACAACCACCACCACCACTACCACCACCACCACTACCACAACCACCATCACCACAACCACCACCACCACTACCACCACCACTACCACCACCACTACCAGCAACAATCCCTGCGCAAGTCCTATCCTTGCACTGACCCACGTAATTACCTAGCATAATTGCAAGTTAATGAGAGAGAACAATTGTAATGTGAAATCTCGGAGGGTAATTAATACATTTGCCGGATAATACTCTGAACTTCACACAGCCAATTACCCGAGAACTGGCGACAACTCCCTACCATGCAATTCTCGCCTCTACGGCCATCCAGCCACAAGCCTGTGATTATGTTCCGCGAACCAGGCACTCTGCCGCGCAGGTAATTACATGCGCGCGCGCACACGGGCACACACACACACACACACACACACACACACACACACACATATAAGGAGTTGGGAGAGCTAGTGGAACATCTGGAGCGAAAAAACTTTGTAACACAGCATCAACATGGGTTAAGGGATGGCAAGTCCTGCCTCACATTATTAATTGAATTCTATGACCAGGCAACAAAAATCAGGCAAGAGAGAGAGAGAGGGGTGGGCAGACTGCAAATTTTTGGATTGCCAGAGAGCCTTTGACACATTAACACACAAGAGGCTAATGAAAAAGCTGGAGATGCAGGCAGGAGTGAAAGGGAAGTAACAGGAGACAACGAGTCAGTGTGAGGGGTGAGGCCTCAGATTGGCGAGGCATAACCAGTGGAGTCCCGCAGGGTTCAGTCCTTGGACCTATACTGTTTCTGATATATGTAAATGCTCTCCCAGAGGGTATAGAATCGATCCTCTCATTGTTTGCTGATGATACAAAAATTATGAGGACAATTAAAACAGAGAATGATAGTAGGACGCTACAAAAAGACCTAGACAGACTGAATGAATGGTCTAACAAATGGTTACTAAAGTTCAACCCGAGTAAATGCAAGGTAATGAAACTAGACGGTGGAAACAGGAGGCCAGACACAGGATACAGAATAGGAGATGAAGTACTTCATGAAACGGACAAAGAGAAGGATCTAGAAGTTGATATCACACCAAACCTGTCTCCTGAAGCCCACATAAAAAGAATAACATCTGCAGCATACGCGAGGCTGGCTAACATCAGAACTGCCTTCAGGAACCTGTGTAAGGAATCATTCAGAATCTTGTACACCACATATGTAAAACCAATCCTGGAGTATGCGGCCCCAGCATGGAGCCCGTACCTGGTCAAGCACAAGACGAAGCCTGAAAAAGTTCAGAGGTATGCCATTAGGCTAGTCCCAGCACTAAGAGGCATGAGTTACGAGGAAAGGCTGCGTGAGGCACCTCACGACACTGGAAGACAGAAGAGTAAGGGGAAACATGATCACTACCTACAAAATTCTCAGCGGAATTGGCAGGGGTAGATAAGGATAAACTCTTTAACACGGGTGGTACGCGAACAAGGGGACACAGGTGGAAACTGAGTACCCAAATGAGCCACAGGGACGTTAGAAAGAACCTTTTCAGCGTCAGAGTAGTTAACAAGTGGAATGCATTAGGCAGTGATGTGGTGGAGGCTGACTCCATACACAGTTTCAAATGTAGATATGATAGAGCCCAGTAGGCTCAGGAATCTGTACACCAGTTGTTTGACAGTTGAGAGGCGGGACCAAAGAGCCAGAGCTCAACCCCCGCAAGCACAACTAGGTAAGTACAACTAGGTGAGTACAAACAGGATTATAGAACTAAGTAATTACTAGGCGGGGAGCGATCAGTCTACATAACTATATGGCACTTAAAAAGAGATATGAGGACACTTATACTTGGGATATGAGGATAAGGAGCTGGGATATGAGGATAAGGAGCTGGGATATGAGAACAAGAAGCTGGGATATGAGGACAAGGAGCTGGGATATGAGGACAATGAACTGGGAT